GCCTGTGGTCCCAGCTACTTGGGAGGCTGAGGCAGGAGACTCGCTTGAGTCCAGGAGTTGGAGGTTGCTGTGAGCTATGATGCCACAGTACTCTACCAAGGGGACAGCCTGAGGCTTTGTCTCAAAAAAAAAAAAAAATTTCATCTTACAAGGGTACAAGTGAATATTTCTATGAGTAGAATATGAACATTTTAACACAATAACTAAGAAAGTTACATGAAGGCCAAGTTAACCAGTTTGATGGAAGTGTCTTGGATTGTGTGTGAAAACACCACACTGTACCCCCAAAGTGCATCAATGTACACAGTTACCATTCAATAAAAAAAAAAATTAAAAAAAATAAATAAAAATAAAAATAACTGTGTACATTACTGCATTTATGGGGTACAATGTGCTGATTCAATGCTTTTTTAAAAAGTCATTAATTCTCCTGAATCATACTAAATGCAAGATTATTAAAAATGTTAAGTACCTGGTAACCATTCCAGCATTCTGAAATAGATTACAAGACTCAGATAATTCTATCATAGGAGTGAATGCCAGGAAAAAATAGCTGTATTTCATCAAATATAACATGCTCCCCATTGTAAAATGCACTGTGGAAAAAAAAAAATACCCCATTGCTATTTGCCATTGATTGTAAGACACTTTCTCATAAAAGAGAGATTTAAAATGTGAAAACAAAGGACATCTTAGAATTGATGAATTAGATGGTAAACCAGATTAACTTAGAAATAGAAATGTTCCGTTTCTCCCTTTTAAATTAAGATTTAAAAACATTAAAATTAATGAACTCTTTCTATCAAGACGAAAAAAGTTATGGAGATAGATGGTCATAACGATAATACCACAATGTGAATAAAGTTATGTGCCATATAACAATGCTCAATGACGGACCACATATCTGATGATGGTCCCGTAAGATAATAAAAGAGCTGAAAACTTCCAATTGCCGAGTGACATCACAGCAATCCATAACCTTTTCTGGGTTCAGATACACAACTACTTACCACTGTGTCATAGCTGCCTACAGTATTCAGTACAGTAACACACTAGCAGGTCTGTAGCCCAGGAGCAATAGGCCATCCCACCCAGCTGGGGTGTGTAGGTGGCTGTACCACCTAGGTTGGTGTAAGTGCGCTTTATTTTTGCACAATGAATCACCTAACAATACATTTCTCATATGTATCCCTGTCAGGAAGCAACAGAAGACTGTGCTTAATTTCAATGAATGGCTAAAATAATAAATTTTATGACATGTATACTTTATCATAGTTTTAAAATAAACATAGAAGAAACAAAAAAAATTATTAACTCTATTTAAAAAAAATACATTTTGGTTTTCACCAGGGGTGAGGCAAATACAGAGGAAAAGGAAGAAACTGAAGAGGGATGGGATGGAAGACACTAATAGAGACTAAGGAAGGAAATGAGGAAAAAACGAGGGCTTAAGAGACAAGAAAATACAAAGAAAGGGCATGAGCAGACACAGATTTGGTAGAGTAGGAACAAACAATTCTTTATTGTGCTCTGAGAAGTGTTTAATTGAGAGGATTTCTGGCCATCCCTGTCCTTCAAAAGTAGCTGTGATGATCGGATCATTGCATACAACTCACAGTCTCTTTGGGCTCTAATTACCCTTTGCCTGATGTTAATATTGTCACGTCTGCTATTTATTAGCATGCACATTTGTGTATGTGTGTGTACTTTATGTAGTCACTATTCATGCCGCTATACTCAGATATTCACCTCAGATCCCTTCTTGTGTTTCTAAATGTTCAATCCTTTCTACGTCAGTGAAACATCCATCTGGAATCATCTTCCTTCTAACTGAGGATCATCTCTTAGGATTGTTTATAGTATGTGTCTGGTGTTGACATATTCTTTCAGCTTTTATGGTTGGAAAATGTCATCATTCCACCTTAATTCTTGAAGGGTATTCTCTAGGTAGTTATTTTCTCTAAGTCCTTTAAATAAAGGGATTTAAAAAAAGCCTGTGGGCTTTTTTTTTTTTTTTTAAATAAAGTCAGCAGTCTAATTATTGCTGCTTTGAGTGTTGTGTGTGCTTCTGGTAGCTTTTATGATTTTCCCACTCAATCTGGCTTTCAGTATTTTTTTTTTCACATGAAAAGTCTTTATTCATCCTCTTGTGAAAAATCTATACAATGGCTGCAGATAACATCACTGTAGAGTCTTTACTCCTTCACCTTTTTGCCAGGACCAGCATTAGCCTTTGCTGTCCCCCGACTTTCTTCATTCCGTTCCTGCGTTCCTTTTGCTGCTTTCTTGACGTCTTTTTCTTCTCATATAGGCCGTGCCTTGCAAGTCTATGTTTGGGTTCATTGTTCTTTGCATAATCCAAAGAATCGTAAATCATGCCATAGCCCATTGTCTTCCCACTCACTCCCAAAGTGAGTCCTGAATCCAAATACGAAGATGACATCGGGTGTCGTCTTGTACATCTTGGCTAGTTTTTCTCTAATTTCTGTCTTTGGTACTGTTGCCTTCCCAGGGTGAAGGACATCAGTGACCATTTGTTTCCTCTGAAGTAGTTGGTTAGTCATGAACTTCCTGGTTCGGATAGTTACTGTGTCATTCATGATGGCGGCGATCCTCCCTGATCCTCCCTCCGGCAGCCCTCGGTATTTTAGTATGATGTCTCTAGGTATATTCTCTCTTTAGTTACTTTGTGACTTGCTGTATTTTATTAGCTTGAAAGAAACCTTCAATTATAAATACTGCTGCTCACCCTTCTCTGTGTTCCTTCTTACACCCCAAATAAATGTATATGAGACTTTCTCACTCTGCTCTTTATGCTTTTTACACTCTCTTCCACTATTTTTCTTTTTATCTTACCTCTCTGACTTTATTTTGGAAATTTTCTTCTTGATCTATTTCTAAAACCACTAATTTTTTCTTCACTTGTATCTAATCTGCTTTTTAGACTCATCCATTGAGTTTAAAATTCAGGGTTTTTTTTAAATTCTAGACTATCCATTTGGTTCTTTTTATGGTTTCTAGTTCCTGATGAAACTAGACTAGTTTAATGTCTTTATTCTCCTCTAATGTGGTATTATGGACCATATGTGTCCCTCCCCAAATTTATATGTGGAAGTCCCAACTCCCAGTGTGACAGTGTCAGGAGATGGCATCCCTGGGAAGTGATCTATCATGAGGGTAGAGCCCTCATGAATGGGATTCATGACTTTAGAGGAACAGACAGGAGAGTTTGCTCCCTGGGCTCTGCCGTGTGAGGGTACAAGACAACAACCATCTACAAACCAGGAAGCTGATCCTCACAGGACAGAGCTGGTGTCCCAGTGTTGGACTTCCCAGCCTCCACAACTGTGAGGACATACATCTCTGTGGTTAAAGCCGCCCAGTCTATGATATTCTGTTTCAGTTGCCCAAACTGACTAACACATACAGTCAATAAGGTTCTTTCAGTCTCTGATAGATCTTTCCAGATCGGTTTCTATAGTGTGTTTCTGTTCCCAGTGCTTGTCTCATATTTTTGAGAATTCATAGTTTGATACTGAACCTTATACTTTAAACACTGTTCTCATACTTTCCTTTAGGTCTTTGAACATTCTTAAAATAACTCACTTAAAATCTTTGTCTACTAAGTCAAACATCTGTGCTTTCTTGGGGACAGTTTCTAGTGACTATTTGATCCCTGCCCCCGGTGCCCCCTTCCTCACTGACCCATGCATGGGCCGTACTTTCTTAGCTTTTTTGCAGTGTCTCACAATGCTGTGTTGAAGACTAGATATTTTAAATAATAGAATGTGGAAACTCTGGAAATCAGATTCTCCTCCT